AATGAGTTAAGACTTTATACTAGGGTGAGGGCTAATTCGCCCTAAGTGAGAGATAACTAGCCACTATATATATATATATATATTACAAGTTCATATATATTTGATGTTTAAAATTTTTTGATACTTTTATTTTTTAGATTTAATTTTTATATGATATTTACGTATTAATCATTTTATTTATTTATCAAAAAAAATTTGCTTCTTACATATAAAAAAAACTTCGTGGAAAATTAAAGTATTTAAGACATATTTATATAATAAATATTTTTTTAATTACTGTAATTTGCCAAGAATGATCATTATAACTGAAAATTATATTGAGGTTTATATTGTATATATACTAAAGAAGTGTGTTATGGAAAAAAACAAGTTTGATGCTTTTTCAATTGAGATTGAAATGCAAAAGATTTACCATTGTCAATATAATTGTCATTAATTTGATATGTTTATCTATTTAATTTTTGTTTATCAAATCTAATAAAAAAATCTAAATTATAATCACTATATTCTCTTTTGACATGATTGGATTGATGCAATTTCTAATTACCAAAAAAATTAATATTTAAGAAATTTATGGATTCAAATCTAGTCTTAAAATTCATCTTTTGATCATTACCTTTAATCATATTTTCAAGTTAACACTCTCTGCAAATCTTACAAACGGATGAATCTAACCCTATTTTTACATGATTTTTAATCAAAACTATGCTTTTAAGATTTTTCACAATACATATTTTTAAAAAAAATTAATAAATGTGTAAAAAAAATAAATTTTGTTTTGCTGAAGATTTTTCATGAACAAATCATTCATGATCTCATTAGAAATTATGTAACTCATGTTACAATTTGATGCTACTTTTGAAAAACTTAAAAAATATGAATATTATTTAAAAAATTTAGCATTTGAATGCATATTATTAACTTATAAAAAAGTTGTTTGTTTTCTTATCTAGTGAATATAAATATCATCAAAATTTTCAATTTTAAAGGTTTATAATAATTTAATTAATAGTTGCATGATGAATTTTGTAAAGTAATTGGATTTTTTAAAACACTCATAATTACTGAAAAAATCTTCTAAGAAATTTAATTTAATCCATATACATCCAATTTTTCATGTCAATTCAATCATATTTGAAATGAAAAATATTTAAATTAAGATAATTACAAAAAATAGATACCTTGTAGAATACCCTCAAAGTATGGATTATATTTTATAAAATAAAATAGTTTACAAAACAAGGGAGAAGCTAGTTATTCCTCACTTTCGGCTAATCTTCCCTCGCCCTAGTATAAGTTCTGCCAGGAAGGTCAAAGGTTATAGTTGCCATCGCAGTTGAATTTATGGTTATTCTATCATGGCTGCTTCACCTTCGTGTTCCTCTCTACATGGCAGGCGTGAGGATCGCCGTCATCGAGCCTCCCGCGGTTGCTTTGTTGTCAATGCCTTATACTTCCTGCGCAATACCTGTCTAGCAGTGCCGCAGATCCAGCTCTTTGCAATGACGAAGCAATGGTTAGGATTTGCATCCTAACCAATCTCGTTACACCGCTCGATATACCGCACTTGATCATACCCGCCTTCACTGAACTGTGGATAATCATAATCAAAACACCCTACAAGTCACGAAAAATGTGGATAGTCATAATCAAAACACCCTATGTTGCCATGTTTGACGCAGAGAGGAACACGAAGATGGGGTTTAGAAGAACCATAAACTCAATCCCACCTGCAACTATAACTTTTGACCAATCTTGACAGACCATATACTAGGGTGAGGGATGATTAACCCAAAGTGAGAGATTACTATACCCTATCACAAGTGAAAATTAGGTTGATGATATTGAAGTTTTATTAATCAAATTTCATGTTCTCCAATTTTGGATGATCTTAATTTTCTGGTGAAGTTGCTCAAGAATAACCAGATGTAATCTTTCTTCTCAAAATACTTATTTTCAAAATTATATTACACGTGTGTGATAGAGCTTTTCCTTGTGTCATATCATTGAATCAATAATGATGAATCTCTTTATCAATAATATTTGTGAATGGAGATTTGTTCTTGTTAGTATGGGGAGACTTGCTTCTTTCAATCATCTCAGCTAATAAAAAAAATATCACTCTTGAAGATAACTTTACAATCATTTGATATCATAGTCTATAACCCTTCATACCACTAGATTACACACTTCTTGGAGGTAGTATAAGCCTTAGTTCTATTTTCTTATGTATGAGATGATAAGAAGTACAATCCAAAATTCTCAAACCAAAAAACATCCTAAAGTTCATACTTAAATTACTCATGTTGGAGACGTTCACATTAACATTGTAAAAAGAAAATATTGTTGACTTTTGCCACTGTCTTGTTTGGTAAAGAAGAAATGACTTCAAACTTTTTCATGACTTGTGAACTTCCTCGAGTTTGGATGGAGACTTGCTCATTGTTATCAAAACAGAACTTGATCCGATACTTCGTATGTCTAGTTCAAGTATCAACCCAACCTTGTCTTGTTAGTACTCAGTTGTCCGCCTCATATTCGACTCGCAACTTTGAACATTTTTACAGGTTTATAAGCAAGAAGTAAAAAGGCCCTCTTACTTATAGCCCTAGGATTGCAGCATCGTTTCCAAGGTGAAAAATTAATAGGACGTCTTAGAAGGCACTTTTATGCGTACCTTAATGATTTGAAACCCGGTACTGTACTCCAATATACCGAGCCTCAGGTTTCGATTCATCATTCTTGAGCTACCTGTTATTAGTTATTGCTTCAGAGAAAGAAGGGTACCTTCGTACCTTTACTTTGAGTTATGAAAATTATTTGCTCTCACTATGTCTTATTTCAAAGACAAAGGGGGTGACTTAGGGGAACAAATTGTGACTCATACACTCATTTGGCCTTCGGGGCTTTGGAGTGAACAGGTAAAAGATAATTGGAAAGTGGTTGAGCAATGTAATCTAATAAAAGATTCCTTCGTTAGAGTTCCACCTTCCGTCATTCTTTATCAAGGGATTTGAAACAAACAGTGAGGTTCGCTTAAAATAGTGAAGGTTTGATGAGTGTATCAGCGATATACAAACATTCACTTTGTTTATTGAGCGGTTGACCTCAGTATCGTGATATCGCGATTCGTGTCATAGAGCTACTAATACTTAACCAGGTACTGCATACTTAACCAGTACTTCTACCACTCCATTTTGTTTTCTTTCAATATCCTTGTTCGGTATGGATGATCCGATACTAAAATGCTCTAACATCATGCAATAAACGAGAAAACAAGTAGACGTGCTTGGATGCGTGTCAAAATACTAGAAGTGATAAATAAACTCCTTATCACTGTTGTTCATCCATGCAAGACGTGGTATCTTTTTAAAAACCTAAGTGACGTTTGCAGCATCCGGTACAGTCAAGTCCTATTCCTTTGAATGTTAAATACTACTACATATACTAAAGTTATATACCACAGTGAAGTCCAAATGTTCCATGAGAATCTCTACATTGAGCCTTGTCACAAGGTTTAACCGTTAGGGCATCTGCCAACTATCCGTGTTATCGTGGCTAGTAAGTCCTCAAGGCTTCCATTCAAAGCTGGACTCTAATTAGAATGATGTGCTAGTAAAAGCTGTGTGAATTACATCTATCGCTACTTCACAGAGTAAGCTTATGCGAATAACCCAGGAGTTAAGCATCATGACATCAATTCATCTGTCTCAAGGATTTCTGCTTTCTATCTTCGTGAAAATGAGCCAGAGATACACTACTGCGCAACCAATGCTGAGATCTTTTATCTCTCAATTCGTGAAACATTGTATAGACATACACACATGTGCATGCAATGAGTGATTTCCTCAAGTATGGGAAATGTTACTGCAGTTGTTACAATCCCTGCTATTGTCCCTTATGTTGTTATCCCGATACGAGGAAGAAATACGTTGTGTTCAACAAAGAGCTTTGTTGAACCTCTGTCTATCGTTTCTGCAGACATAGAAGCTTCTCTCCCTCCTTGCTCATTATCATGTCTTTGTAGGCTCGGAATGGGATAACATGAAAAGATAATAGACAGAGGTTCAACAGAGCTCTTTGTCTTACCCAAGGGGAGCTAAAAAGGAAGTAACATGCTTCTTGGACAAGGAGTTTGTTATTACCATTCTTCTGAATCTTCCCGTAACCAGCCGCTGGTCATCCTCTTGGACGTGAGCAGATTGAATTGGCCTATTCTGACGTTGACATTCAAGCAATCTAACAAGACAGGTATTGGGATCATGAAGCTCAAACACCATTCAAACATCAGCTTTAGTTTCACAGCAAACATGAAAAGCTTCTACCCTCGACAAGCAATGCCACTTACCCGCACTCCTAGTTCAACCCAGATATACAACCTTTTCTCAAGGCGAAATTTGCAGAAGACTTTTGGAGCCCTACAAGGAATGGTGTCACACGATAGGGGAAAGATTGTAGGCAACTGTCGGGAAAATTCGATGTCATATACTGCTACTCATGTGAGGCAGGCCGCTAAGCTTTGACTTCAAGATAAAGTCGAAGGTTAAAAGGAGGGGAATCCCAATTCAGAGGGTACTGTTGAACAGCCGTGATCTTATGTTTCCCTTAAAAAGGCAAACGCAAAGCAAACCGGCAGGGCAAGTCGAGAGGCAAGGGAAACAGAGAAAGCAGCTGGATATTTAAACCATCTTACCAGATTCTAGTGACAGGTGTCTCAAGAATCAGATTATGTCCCACCCTAGAAGCGATTGACATCCCCAATATATGAGGAATCACTCCCATCACAACAGCACACTCCGATGGATACAAACTCCTACGCTGCCCATTCTTCGAACTCGAGCAGACAAGCACAATTCAAGAAAAATCAAAACTTGGAAGTAAGTTGGAGCCGTGCCTAACTTTACACCCACTGCTATCCATCAACTGTGATATTCCTACTATCAAGAACACACTGAACCATAAGCAGTAAAAGAGGCAATCGTGCTCTCTTTTAATCTGAACGCATTCTGCTGAAGAGATGTGTGCAGACTTTGCCTCTTATGCTCAATATGCACAAATAGATGGGCAAGAATGTGTCACGGCTTGTCGAGCAGACAAGAGTTTTAGATGAAGTTGCAGCTACAGATATACAACCTTGTACATTCCCCGACTAAACTGGTCACCATAATTTAAGTGGGGCCAGAAATGGGCTCTTCGGTGACTTCAATATGTGCTCCAGGCAAACCCTCTTTGTATCCTTCCTAAACTCCACTAATTGTACGACCTTGTGATACGAGCCCCGTCATGGAACATCACCAGAATAACTCCGTCAAGATGAAAGATACAAGAAAACTTATTTATTCACAAACTAAAACGATTCGCTTTGCATCACAATAGCACTGGTGGCATCAAAGATCGTGCCGAACATAGAAGGCGTAAAGCTGAAATTAAGAGATTGGCTCGAAGTGTGACCACCGGATTTGATTCCCACCCTGTCCGGTGATACGATGAGCAAAGTTAGCATTTTGACAATGAGAATGTTATGAGATGCAAAAACGTAGATACTATAGAGCGTTGTGACTGCCTCGGATGCATGCCTCAACAGATTCATAGAAGCTTAGGTTTCGATAGTTTGGCACATGCAGAGAGAATTCAATTCTAAACTCATCATCCAACTCCAAAGAATGGCAACGTACGAATCGGTGCCTGCCATGCAGAGCCCATATATTTTTCTCGAAGAATGTGGATGAAAGGGAGACAAATTTACAGAAGACATGCACAGGCTGCTACCCAGAATCAACCAAAGAGCATGCACAGGCAAGGAAGCAAGCCAGGATGGGAAAAGAGAAACGAAGCGAGCATAATTCAACATCCTCAATTTCGTGCAATTCATGCAACAGCTTGCATTGGCCAGAGCTCAAGCGTGAGAGAGGGCAGATGAACGGGAGCCAGGGAGAAAGCTGAGCCAGAGACTGACCACGCACCTACAGATCACACTTCTTTGGGCTCGGATTTGCTGGCACCTCCGGTCAGGGGCTTCTTCACTTCGGCCTCTTCGTCTTCCTCCTCGTCCTTCTTGCCGGGAGCTTCTGAGTAATCTCCGCCCTGGATTTGGCTTCCTCCAGCAGGAAGTTCATCATCGACGTCGTAATCGGGATTCAAGCTCCTGTCCAAAGCTGCCCTTCCACTGTCCAGGCACGGCTTGCACGCAACCTCGATGGCAGCCCAGCCCGCCAGCAACCCCAAACATGCAATTATTGCCGTGGCCAGAGGTCCCATCTTGGCCACCTTGCCCGCCTGCTCGTCCTTCTTCTTCGCCAGACCACCGATGTGATTATGCCTGCTCTCGATCAAATCCCCCGGCCTCGTCTCCTCTCTTCTCTTCTCTTCTCGTCGCTGCTCTGCTGCTGCTGCCGCTCGTCCTCTGTTTTCTCCACATCTGTCTGTGACTGGCGCTTGTCCCCCCTCTCCCCGTCCTGCCCCGTCCTCCCCGACTCCGTCACCGGTCGTACCCCGATGCCCAAGCAAAGGGGCCTCTAACTTATTGGCCCGCCCTATATACCTGTAAGTTGACGCACCGCGGACCCTGCGAGGTTCGCCTCCTCCGGCCCATACTCCGGACTGCTGCCCAGAGCCTTGCATGCATGCCATGCCATGCCATGCAGCCTGCCTGCTTCCTCGAGGCTCCAGCCTCCGGGCTCCGCGCTCCAGGCTCCAGGCCTTCAGAGGGTCCCCGGCCTTCCCGCTCCCCTCCCCTCCACGCGGTCTGGTCCATGTACTGTACGTTCTGCGAGTCAGACCATGGTCAGTGACATGGTCGGGTTCAGCTTTGGCTTCGTCTTCTGGCTTCTCGCGCGTGACCTTCTACTTTCCTGAGGGTGCCCGCCCTTTCTCGTGAGGTCGACATGGCATTATTTAAGTCGGGTTTGGTTGTGGGTTGGGGAATCGAATCAGAGTGACTGTTCGCTTGATGGTTCCGATCATTTCCCTCTCACTAAAATATGCCTTAGGCTTGTTGCATTCAATATCGGGCCAATTTTTTTGCTAGAACCGATTTAGGCTCTTGTTGTGAAATTTATGCAAGCTCACTGATCTTAGTTCTACGAAGCATCCTGGCTTTCTGGCTTTTACAGATGCTTCTTTAACATATCGAGACATTTTACATCCATAATATTTTCACATTGGTTTGGTACTCACTTCTACATCTATGTATTTACATGCGAACACAAGTATGTGTAATGTGATTTTTTTCTCATCCGGAGTGTCTAATTAAATGTCCAGTATGCCATTAATTATGAGATAAGGATAAATAACCCCCATGGAATGATTTTTTACATGTCTTGGAACGGACTAAGGTTATGGAAAATTTATACTTGTTTTGTAGGGATCAAGTTGGCGAATTGTTGACGAAGTACTTTGGCGAGTTTTGTGGTTACAAATCTTGCATGTGAAAAATTTACAAATATAATATTTTCATTGTCATGGATGAATGTCAAAGAAAGTGGCAGCTCTCCCTAATTAAACACATTACTTCATTATCACTTTAGTCAAGATTTTTATTCATCAAGTTTTACATGTTAATGGGAGTGTGCAAGAGCTTCTTATATGTTAATAAATATTATTTATTGTTTTTTTTACACTTTTATTTGCAATTTTCCTAACAAATTAACTGAATTTTGTAAATATTTTATTTTTTTCCCCGTTTCAATCCCAATTTTTTTTTCTTGTACATAGTTTGATTTAAGTAATTAAGACATTTAAAATTAGTTTGAATAAAAAATTGCAGTTTCATATCACCTCTTTCAATCATGCCATGTTTTATTTCATACAAGATTAAATTTTTCTCGCTCAAAGAGTAAACACTTGATTTAAAAAACCAAATATGAGCCATATTGTATCATAATCAGATTGATGAAAACTTGTACGAACAATATATTTATATCACTTACTTACCAAATATTTTGAAGTACAAATCGGCTGTCCTCGCATGAATAATGTCACCAGACATAGGAAAATTAATATATCATGATTTACACATATTTTGTGTATGAACGATCGCATTCTTGTGTTAAATATATTCCGTAACATAGGAATATTATTTTTAATAATATTCTTCTACTAAAATGCATGATAGAACGTTTCATCGCATATTAAGTTTATTGAAGTGGTTCTTTTTATTACTAAATTTGATAAATTATGTCGTCATATTATGATGTATTGTACATTTTGGAATGTTGATATGAATATATGAACATTCCAAATTTCTATCATTTTCACGCAAAACTTTTAATCATCTTATACTGTGATTCATTCAGTATAGCTTCATCCGATTCATATCAACATTCCAAAATTTAGAATCAAAATGAAAATTGAAAATTTTGGCACATGAATGTAAAAATAAATCAAAATAATATATTCTGGAACATTATTATTCACATTCTAGTAGATGTTTAATACAACCTGAAAATTTTAAAACTGTATACGTAAAACATGCTCAGATTGAACACTAACTAATAATAATTTATAGTGGTTTATCTATTTTGCAATATGAAGCTTGGTTTTTTTGTTATTTGTAAAATAAAAAGTTGAGTCTTAACAATACTATTATGAAACTTTGAAATATTAGAAAATAATTTCTTTTAAACATGATTCATATTAAAATTTTAATCTAAATATATATGATTTCTTAATTATAAAACAAGATTAAAAAATCTGAAGCTTTTGATTTTCTCTACATATTTTTGTTTGTTAAGCATAGTTAATAAGTTTCATTGGAAATTAAGAATTTAAATTCAAGTTCTGTATTTTTACTTGATTGGAAAATAACTCTTAAATAATATTATATCTTATAAATAAATGTAATAAATTTTTTATTTAAAAGTTAATCCATTTTCCATAGTTTGAAAATAAATAATATTAAACTTACTACAATTTTGATATTTAGGAAAAAGAATCATAGTTAACAATTTTTTTCAAGTATGATTTATCAATATATTTTTATTGATCATGCACATAATGATCATAAATTATATATTTTTCCAAAACAAATAATATATATGACTTACTTATTTTTGGAATCAAAAAATCTTTTTGTGTATCAAAAAATCAAAAAATAAAAGATTTAAATAAATGTGCAAAATAAAATCCGATGATGCAAGTAGTTGAGAAATTAAATACATATATTTATAATAAAATCATATGATAGAGCTCTGATGTGAAATATTATTTTGATTTTGTAGTAATCAAAACAAAAAAATTCTATATATGTTGGTTCAAAATATTTATAATATTTAATGCTTTGTTTCATTTATTCCAATTGCAAACAATTTAACAGAAGTTTTAACACAGTCAAGAAATTTAAATTATAAGTTTTATTGATTATAAATCTTATACTAAATGACTGACTTCGTGTCGTCCGGCAATTCTGGATTGGTTGATTACATGGAGGAGCTACACCATGTGGTGCTTGTTGTAAGCAAATGTCTGGCCATAGTTTTCTTCTGACCGTACCAAGGGAAGAGGCAAACCCTTATTAATTTATTATAACTTTTATTATGGCTTTTGTTAAAATAATTTGTTTTCTAATTCACAAGTTAATTAGTTTATTAAGTTAATAAATCAATAAATATAATCCAATATATATTTAAAAAATAGTAACCTCATAAAAATATCACTTAATTTCAAAATGTAATTCAATTGATGATAATGGTATTTCTTAAATGATAAAAAAGTGGACTGGAGACAACATCAGTTATTTAATCTAATAGTTGTAAAAAAATAAAATTATTTTATATCGAAGAAAAATGTCTAATACCAATGCATCTATAATATTATAAAAATAAAAATATACAACTAGTTATTTATTGAAGATAAAAAATTCAAATATGTATTACATTTGTTAAAAAAAATTAACAATTTAAAATGATGCGATATTTCATATTCAAAAAAACATGAAACAAATAAATAGGATGAGATAAAATTCTAAAAGACAAACATCATTTTATATTTGGAAATTAAAACAAAAAACAAAATTAATCATATGTTACTTTATTTCAAACATTTATATTTTATTTTGTTACGATATTTATATTAAAAACATGATTATTATTTAATTTATAATTTTTATTAAAAAATGAACAAAAAAATTTATAAAATTTTAAAATTCAATTGAATAAATCTATGAAAAACTTTAAAGATTAATAACTACACAAATATCAACTTCAAAGAGTTGTTTAAAGAGCTTTGGACACTGAATAAAATAGTCAACTGCTATGTTACAATATGAAATAAAATAATGTTGATGTTGATGAAACTTTAAAAACATAAAAAAATTTAGGATGAATATGAGATGAAAACTAGAATTAAAATTAAAATTAAATATATTAAATAATAATAATATTTTGGAATTTTATTTATGAACAAAATTTAAGAGTTTGATGATAAAATTATATTGCATAAATTGTGTGAATTGAATTGATAAAAAATCAAATCTAAAACATAAAATTAATGAATTTATAGACAATAATTTGATTGTTAATAAAACAAGTCATTATATTATATATTACATTTTATAAAACTTTATAAAATTTTACGATGTTTAAGTATATAGCTTTGAAATAAAACGTAGACTTTGAGACTTGAAATCGAGTAACTTGATTTCGGAGTAGAGTTCACATTCTTGCATTGTTTAATTCACGTCACTTTTTTTCATTCTAGAGCGTTCAATAATCAAAATTTGCGCGAGTTTTTATTTTGTAACTTTTATTTTAACAATTTTATAACAATTAAATTTGTTCAAATCATTCATATTTGTTAAAAAAATTCAAATTCAAATTTAATTTAGTAAATTTTTAAATTAATAAAGTACTTTATAAATTTAAATTTATGTAATATACAGCTAAATCGACAATAAATTTGATTTCGGAATGAATTTTTTTTATTTATTATGGTTGTTTTTTATTAAAATAAACATTTTTTACAAATTATTATTAAAAAATTTAATTTTAAAATAAAGCTTAACATAATTTTTTTTACACATAAATGGAAAATTTTAATTAATTTGAACTTTGATGTAAAAGAAAAATTTATTTCAACAATTAAAAATACAATTATATAAAAATGATGTAAAAATCAAATACATGTCACTTCAATTTTTTTTGAAAGCTGTATCTAAAAATAAAATTTGAAAATTAATGGAAAAAATTAATTACTTTAAAACTTGATGTAAAAGAAAATTTTATTTCAACATTAATGTAATAAAATAAAAATTTAAAAATTATGTAAAAATCAAGTAAATGTCACTTTTAAATTTATTTGAAATTATAGCTAAACAAATTTGATTTTTTTTATGGAAAAAATAAATAAATGGAAAAATATATTTATGTGAAACTTGATGCAAAAAATATATTTCTTTCAAAAACAATGTAAAAATAAAATCTTATACAAATGATGTTAAAATTGAAGAAATGTCACTTTATATATTTTTTTATTTTTTTATATAAAAAAATTAATATTA